AAGAGTAGTTATTGTTTAGTTGGATTTGGCCACTTGATTTTCGGCAGCTTGAATAAATAGCCATTGAAATAAAGTGCTTCTTGTGGGTTTCTTTCAATAATAGACACGTTTGCATTACTCTGGGCTGCTGACATTCTAAATTGATTTAACATCTGAAGTCTAACCCAAACGGATGATTTCAGGGAATGTATTTTGTTGTAGGATATAAACTATAGACGACTCACAAAGAATGCATCCAGTCTTTTTCGTTCCCTCTTGCTATTTACCTCCACAGTTCACTTTATCATCTCCTCAACTATTAGGTTGCTCCTGGTCTCCCAACTAGGTGGCATGGAGCCCTTTGATAAGAGCTTAAATGATGACGTGTAAACAGACAACACCTTATTGAGGCCCCAGCTGTTTGTCGGTACGGTTAGTGACTATGGTCAGTGTAGTTAGGCCTGTGATGTACCAGTTAACAAGGCCCAATGAAGTTCTGCCCCTGAAGGCTCTGAGAGAAAGGCCTTTCATTCTTCTGCATGACAGGGAGATGGAAAATGGTATGCAATGGAGTACTGCTGACTTCAGAATTCCAAGTGACCGCCATTCAAGGTTACAGTAGATACGATAATGTATCTTTTCAACTTGATGCCTTCAAATGTGAAACGATGTCTTCCCTGTCCCATTTTTGAAAAATTACTGAAACGAATTATAATGATGATAGCTATAATTTTTTACTGTGTTAGGTATTGAGCTTTACCTACTATATTTTATTTATCTTAATCAACATGAATGTACATTTATTTATTTTAGCATCTGATAAATCAGAATGCTACTTTTCCCTTTCTAAATTTCAGTCTCCTCTGTAGAGAAAAGTACATTGGAGATTTTTACCCAGATCTCTGTAACTCCCTAAGTTCTTGCTCTTAAAATTTTACTTGGATGTACAGAAGCCTAAACATGTAAAACTCTCTTTTCCTTCCTTTCTTGGTGAGTTTCTGATTATGTGTAATGATCTTGACCAGACTTCACTCCATTTGATGTCATAGAACTAGTTTGTTTCAGTCACAAAATAGTCTATCTCCACGGCAGAAGAGTTGCTGTCACAGAATGTGAGTTCAGGAAAGAAAGAACGGTTTGTTCTAAGAGGGAGAGAAGCCCTGGACTTGGCAATGAAAAGCAGCAGCAGTCAACAGAGGCGCCTGCCCTCCTCTTGTCTACAACACCCAGGGCCCCCATAGTGTAACCTCTGCCATGCCTTCATGAGAAAATCTCAGCGGCGCTCTCTGTGTGCACCTTTGCCTAAGAGCGTGCCTGTGAGAGACAGAAGGACAGGCCTCGCTGAAGCAATCAGTGGGACTCTCACGTCCAAGAGCGGGGCTGTATATTATGAAGCCAGTAACTGTTCGTTTGTTACCATCTCTATCCCACATGGATACGGTCCTTTTATTTCTCGGTTTCTTATTACTATTTCTCCTTCTTTCCCAACCCTCCCCAAGTTTGCCCTTGGGGAAATGCTGCCCCTTTTATTTGAAATGGTTGCTTATTCTGAGGTGTGCTGACCTCACTGGGGTGAATGAACCCCCTTTAGACTTAGCTATGGTTTAGTTGAAAAGTGAGCAACAGAATAAGTTTAGTGCCAGACATGAATGGTGGCTGAGAGTCTTCGTCTGGGGTCCCACATCAGTCTCTATGCAACCTGGTCTCTTTAATGAGTGTGAATTTGTTCTATATGTTTCCCCCACTCTGTGCAGGACCTGCTACTGGGATCCTTTTCAAAGCAGTTGGTAGTGGTCGCCGGCTACCATCTAATTCTTCTGGGCTCAGGCTTGGAGACTGCTGTTTTCATGGTCCATTTGTCCATGGAATGAATGTTTCCTTGCAGCTTTGGGTTTTTCTCAGCCTTCTTTCCTTCAGACCAGCAGAAACCAAGAACTCCACCTTACATATCTGTTCATGAGCTTTTGAGACCTCAGGGTTAGCTTTGAGCATTGTGCGCGCGTGTGCGCGCGCGTGTGTGTGAGTGTGTGTGTGTGTGTGGGGGGTGGTGGTGGTGGTGGTGGTGGTGGTGTTTCTCTCCTGTTTTCTAGAGGCCCCAGGCCTCTAGAACTACTTCACACACTCAGTGTCTTGCCAGGCCCATAAATACTGTTGGTAAAAATTGTCGAGAACACAAAGTTCACGTTTTCCTTGAGTGTGTTTAGAAATAAAACTTTCACAGCTGCTTTCCATGGGGATGTTTTATAACCTTGTCAAAACTTTGAAAATATTGCTTAATTCATATTAACATTTAATTGTTTTACATTTAATTCATTTTCTCTTTCCTTATCCAGTCATATCAATTTATAGAAAAAATGCATAGACAAATGCTGGCTTCCATAGGCAAAGCTCCAGACTCTTGGCCGTCCATTGGAGCCTGACTCACAGAGACACTATAGAACAGAATAGAACCGCCCTATGGGGCTCTGAGACCAAGTTTTTATGAGAATAAAAAGCTTCAGTCTTTCTTATGTGGAGCTGCTTGTGGTTTTGAACTGCGGACCCCTATAGGCCAATATATAACCAATTATGCCATCAGGATTCTGCTTCCATGAATAAGGTTACTAAGTTCTGCTTTTTCTTGTCTTAAGCAATTGTGTCGAGCAAGGCTAATGGTGCCCGGCTATCAAAAAGTATAGCGTCTGGGGTCTTAAAGGCTTGAAGGTAATCAAGCGGCCATCAAGCTTAGGGGCAACAGGGCCCATGTGGAAGAAGCACACCAGTCTATGTGATCACGAGGTGTCGAAGAGATCAGGTATAAGGCATCATCAGAACAAAAAATCTTACCATAGTGAATGATGGGGGAATGCGGACTGGAGACCCAAAGCCCATGAGTAGGCCACTGAAGATCCCCTTGCAGGGGGCTCTGGGGAGGAGACGAGCCGGTAAGGGGGTGATGTGGCACCGATGAAAGGTGCAGCTTTCCTCTGGTTCCTGGTGTTTCCTCCCCACTCCCACTATCATGATATGAATTCTGCCTTGCAGGTCTCGCTGGACCAGGGGATGTACACTGGTGCAGATGGGGACTGGAAATATGGGGAGTCCAGGGTGGATGATCCCTGCGGGGACCAGTGATGTGGGTGGTGAGGGAGAGAGGGTTGGAGCGAGGGAACCGATTGCAGGGAACTATATGTTACCTCCCTGGGGGACTGACAGCAGAGAAATGGGTGAAGGGAGTTGTCAGACAGGGCAAGATATGACAGAGTGATGATTTGTACATTATCAGAGGCTCATGAGGGAGAGGGGAGCGGGGAGGGAGGGGGAAAATGAGGACCTGGTGCCGGGGGCTTAGGTGGAGAGGAAATGTTTTGAGAATGATGGGGGCAATGAATGTACAAATGCGCTTTACACAATTGATGTATGCATGGATTGTGATGAGAGTTGTGTGAGCCCCTAATAAAATGATTTAAAAAAAAACAAAAAACCTTTTCCCCTAAGAATGAGGAGGCACAGGATATTTATAGGTGTCTAAATCCAGGCATGTACATATGTAATTATATTTATATATAATGATAGGGAAATAGATCTATGTATATATGATTATATGTTGAGTATTAAGTTAGCAGACAGACATTGGGCCTCTACTCAAGTACTCCCTCAACACAAGAACACTTTGTTCTAATAACCCAGCATTCTGTGATGCTCACCTTCCGACATGATCGCTGAAGACAAAATAGGTGCATAAACAAATGTGGTGAAGAAAGCTAATGGTGCCCCGTTACTAGAAGTTATAGCTTCTCGGGTATTAATGGCTTGAAGTTAACAAGTGGCCATCTATCAGGGAAGCATCAAAGCCCACATGTAAGAAGCACACCAGCCTGTGTGATCATGAAGTGTTGATGGGATCAGGTATCAGTCATGAAAAACCCAGAACAATAAATCATATCAACGTGAATGAGGGAGTGCAGCGTGGAGACCCAAAGCCCATCTGCAGGCAATTGGACATCCCCTTACAGAAGGATCACAAGGAAGAATCAAGCCAGTCGGTGCAGTATAGCACCGATGAAACATACAACTTTCTTCAAGTTCTTTAATGCTTCCTACCCCGCACCCCCCACTGCACTATCATGACCCCAATTCTACTTACAAATCCGGCTAGACCAGACCATGTACACTGGACAGATAAGAGCTGGAAACACAGGGAATCCAGTAGAGATAAACCCCTCAGGGCCAATAATGAGAGTAACGATACCAGGAGGGGAAAGGGGAGGTGGGGGGAGAAAGGAGGAATCAATCACAATGATCAACATATAACCCCCTCCCAGGGGGACAGACAAGAGAAAAGTGAGTGAAGGGAGACAACGGTTGGTGTGATGTTAAAAAAAAAGAAATTATCAGGGGCTCATGAGGGAGGGGTTGGGGGAAAATAAGCTGATACTCAGTAGAAAGGGCTCAAGTAGAAAGAAAATGTTTTGAAAATGATGATGGCAACATATGTACTAAGGTGCTCGACACAATGGATGGATGTATGGATTGTGATAAGAGCTGGAAGAGCCCCCAATAAAATGATTAAAGAACAAAACAAGACCTTTCCCCCATGTAATGTAGTCTTCTCTTTGACGTCTCCGGTGGCTGACAAGCGGTTATTCTAATTGCCCGAGTGGTGCCTCTGCCCCATATGAGCCATTACAGAGTAAAGTTAACACCGCCGCCTTGAATTTACTTGGCTTCTTTCTTCTGTCTAATTCAAAAGTGCCAGGTGCCCTCTCTCTGCTCAGGATGGCTGTGTATGAGCTGTCTTCCATTCCCTCGTGAGTGTTGAGTATTAACTGCTTAGTAAACCAGAGGAAGATTTTGAATGTCCTCCATAAACAAACTTTGTATTTAGATCCATGGGTAGTTTTGAAGTTCTTTCTTGCCTTTATTTTCACAGTTGGTTTGAAAGAGCTTTTACTAGTTACTTCTAGAAGTTACATGTCTTGTTCTTTTAAAAGAGAGAGAACTTTAAAAGCCACTACCAACACTGGGTATTTCTTTTTCAGATGCAGAAGAAATTGTTTTAAAAGCCCAGATCTTAGCGGGAGGACGTGGAAAAGGTGTCTTCAACAGCGGATTGAAAGGAGGCGTCCATCTAACCAAAGAGTAAGGCCAGAGGTCTTAATTCCTTTCCTTTGGGCTGAGCACTTAGGGAAGACTTCATGGTGACCAAAACTAGCACTGAGAAAGAGGGTTGGCGTGGGGGAGGCAGTAAGTGAGGGAACAGACAATATAGTTGGTGAGCTCTGGCCTCACCCATTTTTTGTTCTCCTCATGAAGGAGTTTTCTTTCCTAATTTGTGAGCATTTAACACTCCTACTCCCATAGACAACATGATTCGTCATTATTATTGGGAATGATGCATCTTGCAAATTAAGTGCTACTTTCCTAACATAATTCTTCTATTCCGTGCCTGCTGTGGCTCCCAGTTCCAAGGGCATCAGTCTGTTAGTCCAAGGCTTCCCTCACCTAACAGTCTCCTTTACTCTATGTCCCATGGCTTTGCTGGCCACCCAATGCTTTCCTCCCCGCCCTGCTCCTGCCACACCACTTTGTCATAGGGTTTCTTTGATGCCGGCACCTCTTCTCTTCTCCCCGTCATTGTTCCGACTTTCCAAATTGCTCACTCTCAAGTCTGTGTTTTCCCGGCTCTTAATGGTTAGTATTCCACCATTGCAGCATGCGTTCGCTCTTTCCTCCTCCCCGAAGGCTCCTGCTCTGCTAGGCACCCAGTGAGCAGGGAGACCCTCGGTTACGTGGAGATGGCGGTGGACCCTGTGCAGCATGAAAGTAGGTGTCTGTAGGCACTACTTCACAGTTAGTTAGCAGGGAAATAAACTGTTCCCCTTTCCTCTCTCTGCAGCCCCAACACTGTGGGACAACTGGCTAAACAGATGATCGGGTACAATCTAGCAACAAAGCAAACTCCAAAGAGTGGTGTGAAAGTGAACAAGGTACTATGAATGCTTTTGGTGATTTTTCTATTTATGTCACGCCCCCAAAAACGAACAAACAAATAAAAACCCAGGAAAAAGCTTCACTGTGGACAGAATCTAAGCAGTCCCTGCTCGCTGCTGGCGTGCCATTTGGTTTCTGCAAGCTCAGTTAATGTCGTTAGCAACTGGCTTGAGTTTGAGGGAGAAAGAAAAGGGCTCTATGTGGCAGAATTATTCATTATCATCAGCCTTTGCCGGAAGTGGGTGGGAGTGTCTGGCCAGTGCTTTCCCTTACAGAACACAGGCGCGCGTTGTGTTTAGTAGCAAAAAGATCTTGGTGCAACACCTGGGGTCCTAGATTCAATGAGGTCTGTCTTCCCTACCCCAGCCCCGGCCTCATCCCTGTATCAGTATCACCTGGTGTGATGGTGGTTGTCCTGAATGCCCTTGTGCCTGCCTTTCGGCTGACTACTGTCTTGACCCACTGTTAGTGCTGGGAGTATGTTGAATAGGTCAAGTCGGCTGGAGCATTGAACTGTCTGTCTGTCTCTCATACACCGCCCCCCCCACATGTACACACATCACCTGTCCTCATATATATACTGTGCACCCACATGTTCTCTTGTACAAACATGTGCACACACAAACAACACACACACACACACACACACACGAAAAATAGGTTTGGAAAATAAAAAGGCTTACCACCTCAGTCTTCATTCATGACATTTATTTTCTCTCTCTCCCTCTCTCTCTGGTCATTTCATGCTACCTTCATGTATCAAGGGCCAGCTCCAGGGAAGACAGGATCCACTGCAAAATAAAGACGCAAGGGCCTCGGCCAAATGTCTAGGCTCCAACAGCTGAGCAATAAAGAAAGTATGGCGTCCTTCTGAGCTGGCCCTGGGAGAGTAGATGTGAAAGGTCCCAGTGTAACAGGGCCACAATGTAGGGCAGTGCCTGTCCGCTCTGATGGCACAGGCTTGGATTGATGAGCTCGGCCAGTGAGCAGAACTTGGGGACACTGAGGAAGTTTAAAAAAAATCCTTTTCTTTAACTTCTCAGCCAGAGTTTTATGGAACATTCTTGATGTGACTTTGAACAAAACCTTACCTGGTTTTTAGTGTACCTATTATGAGAGGGTCAACCCAGACCCAGAGAAGGACACTGAGGGCGATTGAAATGCTGCTGGGTCATTAACTCCATCCCTCTGAGAACACAGAAGCTTTCTAGATGTTAAGGGAGTAACAAACCAGACCCATTCTAGGTATTTCCCTTTTCTACTTCTTCTCAGCTAGATGCAAGAACTGTTTAAAACTCAGAAGAGTTTCATGTTGTTGTTTTGTCTTTGCTTAGCATGGCATATACTTTTATTTCCCTGTTAAGGCTCACTATGAACCTTGACGTTATGGCATGCACTTCGACAGGGATGCACGGGGGTCCCTGGGTAGAAAGGTCCCTGATGGCTGCTGCTGCTGGTGGTGATGCTGTTATTTAGCATTGACCTTGCAGCTTGGGAGAGGAAGGGCACATGTTAATGATCTATGAGGCTCATGTTTTGGGGAATCTACGTGGATTGATTATTTGTTCAGGAAGTATTTATTAGAATTCTTTTATGGTCCACTCGTGTGTTTTAGATTATAACAATGAAGTTTCAGGTGAACATTTTTTCCCTTTTAGTATGTTTAATGATGTTCCAGCATTTAATAATCCATGCCTTACTTTCAAATGGGAATAATAATAACATGCCTGATGTGATTGTTAAAGACTAAATACATTAGTCCATGCATGGACTAAGTATTTAACATGCAAAATAAACAAATAAAAAATAAACCCACAGCCACCACTTTGATTCCGACTCACAGCAGCCTCATAGGATGGAGTAGCACTGCCTCGATGTGTTTCCCAGGCTGCAAATCATTCTGGGACTAGAAAGCCTCTTCTTTCCCCACCGAGTGGCTGATGATTTTGAACTGGTGATGCCACCAGGACGCCTTCAGTCACTGACATAGTGATCATTTAATACTGGATGATCATTAGCATGACAGAAATATATATTTTTAAATAAAATTTTTGTGTTGAAATAATTATAGATTCACATGGAGTTATAAAAATCAATACTGAGAAGTCCCTACCCACTCTGCCTGGTTTCTTCCAGTAGTACCATTTTCTATAATTACAGTCCAGTGTGACTTCTGGAGTTCTGTTTCTGATAAAGTCAAGATACTCAGATTTCCTTCCCCACCAGGATCCCTTCATGGGGTTTCCCCCTCAGTACCCTGGTGCCTTAGTGGGTTGCTCTTTGTGCTGCTCACCACAGGTCAGCAGTTTGAAACCACCAACTGCTCCTGGTGGAGTTGGAAGAGGCTTTCTACTCCCAGAAAGATGGACAGTCTCAGAAACCCACAGGGACTGTTCTACCCTGCCCTATAGGGTCACTATGGGCCACAGTTGAGTAGATGGCAGGGAACTGGCTTTTTGCTTTGGTTTACTTTCCCCTGGCCTAGATTTCCTTTTACCTCTGGCAATGGCTAATCCATACTCCATTTTAATAGTTTGGTTATTTCCATAATTTTATGTGAATAAAATTATACAGTATTTGACTTAGTGTTGCTACCCTTTTTTACACAGCATAATTTCTTGGAGATTCATCCAGGTTGTTGTGGTTAACAGTGGTGACTGCATTCTGTTCCAGGATGTGAGCTTATCACCTTTTTATTACCCTAGAGGAACTCTTCTTCCACTGAAGAGATCTGGCTGCTTTCTAGTGTGGGGCCATTTCAAACAAAGTTGCTGTCAACATTGCGCACAAGCTTTTGTTTGAACCACCATTTCCATTTCCCTGGGATTAAAGGCCCTGGGATACATTTGCTGAATCAAATGCCAGTTGCATATAATCAGACGGTAGTTGTTGACTTAAAAAAAAAGAAAATGCCAAACTTCTCTCGAACGGTCTAACCATTTCACATTCCTCCTTGTGATGTATAAGGGATCCAGTGTCTCTGTAGCGTTGGCCAAATTTGCTGATGTCATGTCTTCCCCCACTTTGGAATACATATTTGCTTTTTAAATGGTATGTGCTTCTTACAATTTGGAAAATACTGCCGGGCTAACAGAATTAAAAATGAATACGTCCTTTAGTCCCATCTCTCAGAGGCAAACTCTTTTTTTAGTACAAATATAATTTTTAAAATTTAATTATCTTGTCTACATTATAGAAATTGTTGTCCACATCCTACATTCTACTGACCTTTGCTTTCAAAAGTGTATTATTACAGTCGAATGACATAGAGGATTATCCCGACTGAATGAATTTGAACATTTAAGGATGACAAAGGTGAATTGTCAATCAAGTTTAATTTGGTATCTCCATAGACTTCACACCCTGTAATACTCCTATGTACTTTGATTTAAATTATTTATTGATTGATTTGATTTTGTATTGTGAATTTAAAAATAATGTTATTCGCTTTGGTAGTAGATTTCTTGTACTTTTTTTCTGCATGCTAAGACCACAGTCTGTGAGGTTTTACCAGTCCCCCTGTACAGCCAATAAACATAATTTAATTTTTTTCTTTTGTTTTGTTCCATGTTTTTCTCCCGCTATGTCCAAGACTGGGAAGCCAGGGAATCTATTCCAATTCACAGTGACCTTATGTAGAGTTTCTGAAACGGAATCTTTGCTTGATCAGACAGCCTCATCTTTCTCTTGCAGAGCATCCAGTAGGTTTGAACTGCTGACCTTACTGTCAGCAGCCCAATACCTAACCCAAATCTCCACTGGGGCTTCTTCCTATCTATCCAAGACCTTGTAATGTGACCCCTTTCAGAGAAGTTGGTTCTGGTCTCAGAATCTTAGAGATTGATGTTCTGTCCTGGTGCATTTGAATACTTACTGTCATGTGTCTTTTACTTTCTTACCTTTCTCTCCTCCAGACGGAAGACGGTTGTTGCGTGTTAGCAGACCTCTCATAAGGCAGTACTCACCAACACAGGATGTAGACCATTGTCATTCTGGACATGTTAGTTGACCTTGGTTGTTCCCAAAACCTTGGTCCTGAACCTCCAGTCCACACGATTCATTCCTCAAAGTGAACACAAACATTTTAAACATTTTTCTGTAGTCCTTGGTAATTTAGTGGGCTATACTTTGGTCTGCTAACAGCATGGTCAGAAGTTCAAAAATACCCGCTACTTCTAGGGATAAAGACAAGGCTTTCCAGTCCTATAAAGTCGTAACCATTTCAGAAACTCACCATGGCCATTCTACCCTGCCCTTTAGGGTCACTATGAGTCAGAATTTCCCATATTGCAGTGAGTTTGTTTGATTTTTGTAGTGTCATCGTTGCAAGGACCATGAATTATTTATGTGGCTTCATTAGCCCAAGTCTCTATCTCCCGCCTGGTAAGCTGAGAAGAAGTAGTAAGGATATCACTACCAGCAAGAGCCAGGGATTAAGCACCTGCTTTGGACCCAAGATCCTTGCACAGTAAACCTCCTATATCAGAAGACAGCGATGATCTCAGAGGAGCAGAAGCAGGGGTAGGAGCCAGAGCATGGAGGCGAGTGATGGGCCTCCCTGCCCAAGGAGCAAGTAGAGTTGAGTGATCTTGTGCAGAAGACTGGCTTGCGGAGCGTGAGGCCTCTAGGCACTTAATTGGGGGAGCTGGACTTGCTGACCCAGAGAAGTGGAGCTGAGTGCCGTTGAGCTGAGTTTTGCCCTAGTGGGGTACCTCGGGGCATTTAAATCAGGGAGCTGAGTTTGCTAGCCCATGGAGTTTCAGTTTAAGGCCTTTGGGTTGAAGTAGACAGAAGAGTGGCATGCCCTAGGCATTTGTTAGCAGACTTGGAAGAACTTTGTAACCTGACCTGATAACACAACCCCCAGCATTTCTCACTGGCATTACAACTTGTTAACTTGCTAATAAGCCCTTTGATCATGAATTTTATCCGAGTCCTGTATAGGTGTTGCAATGGATATTAAAACTTAGATAAGTAAAATAGAGAACACTAATTA